TTTTTGAAAGTATTTAAATACAAAGAAACCCATTGAGAATTAACACAGATTCATTATATCTCAAMAAATAAATAGTTATATAACCCAGAAGTGCTGCTTGTTTCCACCCATGAAAACCTTGCTTCTACTTGTTCGCAAAAGGTCAAATCATTATTTTATTTACTCGTACTGAAATGTTTTACTCCACATGTGACGCACTGAGAGCGTATGGGGAGTAAAGCTTTTTTCAGTGTAAGGAAAGTAATTAGCATCTGATTCTTATCCTGGTGCGCACTACTGACATGAGGTTTAAGTTAACGAACTTAAATATTTCCATCATATATACCTATGCTTCAGAAATAGCTTTTGCTYGATTTATTATTGATGCTGAATGGTAGCTTTTTTTGCTCAATTTATTGATGCTGTCTGGTAACTTTCTAGGAAAAAAGACCCTCTGAAAATCAATGGCATTGCTTACAGAGTAAGGCACAATTCCACATGAGTAACTATAGTCCATAAATTTTTATTTTTGCACATAGACATTACAGATGCTTGAACTTTGTTACCTAAGAGATATTGCTGCTAGCCTCTACACAGTCTTGTCACTGTTAAATGAACATGACAGCTTAATTCTCAGCTAAATACAAAAAAAAAGGAGGTATATATAATGGAGCCCTACTTTGCAGAGATTTGATAAGAGACTGTTTCTAGTGAAGTCAATGACAAAACTCCCATTTCATTCAGTTCTACAGTTTTGGGCACTAGACCAGTATTCTGTGACATATGAGTGCACAGTAATTACAAGCATCTGTAAGCATTTCCTTTTGCTAAATCTGAAGAATACAAATATATTCAACCTTCACATAGAAACCTCTTAACATGCACTTATGCCAGTTTCTTAGGCTTTGTATCCAGTGAGCATCTGACATGGAGGTGGGGAAAGACAACCAAATGTGGTCAACTGTCAAGCCAGAAGATTGTGGAGGTACTAAACAAATACATTTCTATAATTAAGCACATGCTGGAAATGTCTTTTCAATATAAATAGTAAGTAACTTATATGTAAAGGAATGTGTTAGTAGTTAAGAGCCTTTCTT